GGATGCATTTAACCTCAAGAGCATTTAAAAAGCTATATGTTTATCGAAGAAACGTGTGTTCTGATATTAATAGATATTATATATATTTAGAGTAATTATTTAGATCACACTCCCTCCTCCGCCCATCAAAAATCTTAATAAAAATTTATTCATTCGACGCGTTTTTACTCAAAACGAAAGAATCTGACAGAAAAACGGTCGACCTCGTGAATCGAGTTGTTAAGCGTTAAAGTTTGAGACTTGTTTATCATCCTGATTCGATACAATTTTATGTATACATTCTGCATTAATTACAAATTCACTGCTTTAAAAACACATTTATTGTTTTAAAAATACAAATTCACCTCTATGCTAAGAATTTGTGTGCTTAAAGCAGTGAATTTTTGTTTTTAAAGCAGTGAATTTGGCTTTGTGAAGTACAGAGAATTTGTTTTTAAAACAGTGAATTTGTGTTTTTAAAGCAGTGAATTTGTGTTTTTAAAGCAGTGAATTTGTGTTTGTAAAGCGGAGAATTTGTTTTTAAAGCAGTGAGTTTATAATTAAAGCAAAATGTATACATAGCATTAAGTTGGAATGATAGATATCTTAACCTCTAAAGTTTTTTTAACGCTTAATAATTCGATTCATGAGACCGATCGCCACGTTTTTCTGCCAGATTATTTTGTTTTGAGTGAAAACCCGTTGACTGAGTATATTTTTATTAAAATTTTAGCCGGGGGAGGAAGTATTTTAAACAATTATACATTTTAACGAACTAAATATTACAATGCGTAACGATTTCTTATTTAACGTTATTTTTCTTGTAGTTGATATAATTTATATCACTCACACTTGTGCTAAGTATTTAATATTATGGTGGAATGCAGATTATATACTTTTATTATCCATCTTTCTTCTTATTATTGTTATTATTCTTTTGACAGAATGGCTGGTCCGTCATCTGATCAAAATAATATTGCCCAGAAAACATGGGAGTTGTCAAACTGCATCGAAACCATCAGCACCATGGACGAGATCTATAGATACGACAGGAAGGAACAACAAGATATATTAACTGCCAAACCATGGGAGAAAGAGTATGGGAGAGAAAAAGAATACGACTAATCTATATATCCCGCGAGAATCAAAAGCATTAACTGTAACCAGTATTTTTTCTTATTTGTAGCCCCCATTTCTTCAAGGACATAAAAATATCTGCATTAGCTCTGTTAAAAATGGTTATGCATGCACGATCAGGTGGGACGCTAGAAGTAATGGGCCTCCTGCTTGGTAAAGTAGCAGCAAACACAATGATTGTAATGGATTCCTTTGCATTGCCAGTCGAAGGAACCGAAACTAGAGTAAATGCTCAAGCTCAAGCTTACGAGTACATGACAGCATATATAGAAGCAGCTAAACAAGTACATACATATATATTATATATATATATTTTGTAATAAAAATTACTTTGTAAATATATGGCAATAATCTATAGCTGATAATTTATTCTGATAATTTATTCTTTAGGTTGGTAGATTAGAGAATGCGATCGGATGGTATCACAGTCATCCTGGATATGGTTGCTGGTTGTCTGGTATCGACGTATCCACCCAGATGCTCAATCAAAATTTTCAAGAACCATTTGTTGCAATTGTCATCGATCCAGTGAGAACCATCTCCGCTGGCAAAGTTTGCCTTGGTGCATTCAGAACTTATCCTAAAGTACGTTTTATATAGACCTTAAGAAAGTGAAATTAATCGATTCTAGAAGAAAGGAATCTAAGATGTTTATTTCAGTTCCAGATATACTTAACCCGTAACTGGGACATACGAGTCCTAGTGACATTGGGGCATTTTTCTAATTTTTAAATAATATAATTTAGAATGATTTTATATTTCACAATTTTATTTGTTATAATAATTTGTTTTATTCGTGTAGGCTAATTATTATACTATATATTTATGTTAAGTTTGAGTGTTGCAATTTTATATATATATACAGGGTCCCATTTTAATGTCCCACTTCAAATAATTTTTATTTTTGATTTTAGGAAAAAATGTTTCAGACAAAAATTAATATAACATTTATCAAGATTAAGGCTATTAGAGGTTGTATTTCTTATTTTCATTTTTACGTAGAAATGTAATTTTTAGTGCAAAAATAAAAATAAGAGATATAATTTTCAACGGCCTTGATCTTGACAAATGTTATCTAGATCATGATCCTGAATTGAAGAAGTTGTAGTCGTCGGTCGAACACCTTGGATAATGTTAATGCCAGCGGTGCTGTAACTTGCAAGTCTTATAACTCGCAAAGTATTTAATGAAAATCAATTTAATTATAGTATTTTGAAAAGTTCTCGAGATGATCTTGACAAGACTTCTTGAGATGACAAAAATGTACAATAAAAAGTAGAGGATTCCATTTAAGAAATTGAAGGTAACTTTCACGTGACCTTCAAGCAACTATTCAAGGTCAAACTAATGACACCATCTTATGTCACCCTCAAAATCGTACAACTTTTGTCTGAAACATTTTTTCCTAAAATCAAAAAGTTATTTGGGGTGGGACATTAAAATGGGATACCTGTGTTTATATATATATAGTTGATAATTAAAAAATGTTTTTACCTAAGTAACAGAACACTTTAGTGAATCTCAAGGATTCATATGTTTCTTTAGCTAGTTACAAAAAGTGTGTTCCTGTTATGCATTAACAATATTGATTTTACATTTCCTAAAGAAATTTTTTAAAAAAATAATTAGCATTTCACTTAAATTGCTTTTAGGGATATAAACCTGCTAATGAAGAGCCGTCAGAATATCAGACGATACCACTGAATAAGATCGAGGACTTTGGTGTTCATTGTAAACAATATTATTCCTTAGAAGTGTCCTACTTCAAGTCTGCATTGGATAGACGACTGCTCGACTCATTATGGAATAAATACTGGGTGAACACTTTGAGCTCTTCTAGCCTATTGACAAATGCGGATTACACCACCGGCCAAATATTCGATTTGTCGGATAAATTAGAACACTCGGAATCAGCTTTGGGTAGAGGATTTGTTTTAGGTGGCACAGATCCTCATGATCGCAGTACAGTGGAAAAACTCATAAAAGCGACCAGGGACAGTTGTAAAACTACCATCGAAGTTATTCACGGTTTAATGGCGCAAATTATCAAGGACCGTCTGTTTAATCACGTCGGCAGTAACGCGTCTTGTGATTCTCAGCAAAAATAATAATATTCAGCATAATAAGTGTGATAATAAGTCTACTATGTGTAATAAAGATGTACTATTTGTAATAAAGATATGTATCCTCATTTAAAGTCGAAGTTTCTGAAACGAACATTTTGCAATTTCCGCTCGAGAAACTTGTTTTAAGATGGAAGATTAAAATTATAGAATTGAGAATGAAAACGTTACGGTAGCTTCTTTATGATCTTACAAAGACGTTTATATTCCGAGTATACATGAATGGCGGATGATTTTAAAAAACGTAGTGGAATAAAAATACATTTTATTTTCACACCTTGATTCGCTAGAAAGTATATATACAGCATTTTTATCCTTAATCAATATCTTCATGTATGTATTTATATATTTATAGGTATGTTTATAAAACTAATGTGTAATATATTCAGAACAAGTAGGCAGAGCAATAACCCCACTGAAGGGCTGACGCGCTGTGTCACAAACTTTAAGGACAAGGCCACTCAGGAACGCATACCTACCTGTTCTATCTTATATATTCCTATACCTCACGCGCGCGCGCGTATTTGTATCTCGAGCAACATATAAGGGACGGAGCTAAAATGCGTACAGTATACACACATGCGCGCGTGCACGCACGCACGCACACGCAAGCACACACAGACACACACAGACACACATATTTATTCAATCAATCGTAAAGCTGATCGAGAAATTATATATAAGATGTCCCGATTAGAAATCATAGAAGAAAATGTACGACTGAAAGAAATGTGCGGTGCTTTTGAGAGATATGAATTCTTGTGGTATGCACGTATCTCTACATCTATGTCGCATCGCGTTATATCACGTTGAATCATATTAAATAATTAAGTACAATAGTGTATTTTATAACTTGATTCATGGAAAAGTTTAGAGAAAAAAATACATATTTGGAAACAGAGAATGACAAAACTGGTTGTCATTCTGTTCTCCGTTGTATCTTTTTTTTCTTAACTTGTATACTTATTGTGGAGTTACATTTGTTACTCATCGACAGATGTAAAAATTCGATAAAGTAGTTATAAAATCGTATGAACATTATGTTAAATGAGCGAATATTTCTGCATATTTCTCTGTTTCTCTCTTTTTCTCCTCCCCCCCCCTCCCTCCTTCTATTCGACATAATATATACAAATGATACCTCCGAGAGTAAATAATTCCAATTGAGTAGTAAATAATAAAATCGGAATCCCAAAATTAGTAAAAACCACATTATTACTTTGCTTAATTTTATGTTAGTGTTACTGCAACTTAAAAGACTATCGTCGACATATATATATATATATATATATATATAACAATAAAAACGAGACATTTGATTATAGTTCGCAGATATAAAATCAATCTTAAAACATGGAATTTTGCATTTCTACTTTGTAGGACGATTTTGCAGCCACGTAGTATCGAAGTTGTGACTTTCCGAATTCTCATTAAAATCAATTTAATACAATATAAGTGAAACATCGTTACGGTACGGGTTTCACAGAAATTAATATTCAAAAGAGACGAAGAGATTTGATTGGACCGCTAACAAAACCCCAATATTTCTCATGATAATAAATTTCTCGTACAACGGGATGCAAAGCTCAATATGCATACATACGCGCGATAGATATAACATGACAATCAGAATTCAGCCCTTCAATGTTACTCTATACTCTGAATACCAATTCGAAGTTGTGTATGTATACTCGCACGTAACACACTCATGCACCATAAGTATCGTGTGTATGTGTATTTATATTTGTATCTGCGTGTATCTTTCCTCCCAAAAAATGATATCTCTCTTTTTCTCGAAGACGGAAACGTGGATATTATCGTATATTCGCGTTATTGAATCAACAATACTATCATATACACATATAAAGAGTCTCATCTCGCGTGTCCTTTTTTTTCTATTTTTGTTTATTTCGCGAAATTTTTGTTTTTTTCCTCCCCTCTGTACGTCATTGTGATTATCTAATATTTACAAGACGATCATTCGCGAGTCGTCCGTGATATCTTACAAATACAGCGGTAGAAAAGATCTTTTTTTTTTGTTACAGTGAGAGTTATAAGCGCCTTCTCATAGATAACTTTTTGGGGCAGCGACAGAGCACTTTAGGTGACAAAACCTTCCTCCGATTCTTCCGTGTTTTTTTCATGTTCTATTGTTTCTAAGTGGCATATGAAGAGTCTGATGTATTTCTGTTTTCTTCTTTTTACTCTCGTTTCTTCGTTTTTTATTTCATTATTTAGCCTATGTGAGAAATTACGCGCTAAATTAGTAGCCGAAAAACGGGAATGCAACCAATCAGAGCACGATATCTCCCCAATTCCCTCCGCGTATTTCAGTTATTAGAAAAAATATTTACATTTTTCTTCTCTCTTCCTTTTTCTTTTGCACACATGCGACACATTACGAGAACGAAGCACTTGCACACACACGTTCTCTCATCGTAACCAAATTATGTGAGAACAGTAATAATACATAGACAACAGTAATAATACAAAACGTAATTTTTGAAAGATCGCGATATTAATATCACATTATCCGCGACAGTTTTAATACACGCCGAAGAATTCACTTTTCATTATGAAGTTTCAGAATATATCAAACAAATCGCGCAAAATTAAATTATCATACTTTTCAACATACCCAAAGTGTCTCTTAGAAAGTTTAGGTCTTGCCTTATCGGTGCCACACATACAATGATTAAATTGCTTAATACAAATGCTCTCTCTCTCTCTCTCTGTGTGTGTGTGTGTGTGTGTGCGCGCGCGCGCGCGCGTGTGTGTGTGCGCGCGTGTGTGTGTGTGTGTTAGATATAGCCAAGTTGTGTGTTTCACTGTCCTAATGAAGAAAAATTGCGTTTCTTTCATCTTCCTCTCAGTCCACTTTCAAAATTCTATTAATTATTTTTAGGCAGGCATATGTACAAATGTATTTTGTATTACATCTTGTCACTGCGATGTCGAAATGGGAAAGTTATTGACTTCCGTTTGTTCTAGAACTGATCCAGTCGGGCCGGTATACGATATACGCAATCTCATTCTTAATTGTGCCTAAGGAAAAAAGAGATCGTTGATTAGAAACAAAAAATCTCTTATTTTATATAATGCATTTTAGATAATGTATTGAAAACTGACTCTATTCATATTAGTCACTCTCAAAACTTGAGTTACTTGACCAGACGGCGGAATGACAGTACTTGACGGCGACAACATTTGTAATTGGAATGTCTGCAAACAAGAAATGCATTGGTTTGATATACGAAAAGTAATATCATAAGTGTGTGTGTGTGTGTGTGTGTGTGTGTGTGTGTGTGTATAGATAGATAGATAGATAGATAGTGTCTAACCCTAGGAACTGCTGCTTGAAATAAAAAATCGGTTAAAATAGTGCTTCCGGAATTTTGAGCCAACATAGTTATGACCAACAGATCGGAGATATCGGGCGGTCTTTCTAATTTGAACGTTATTTTGAGCCCTGATTTATCCAAGACCACCATACTTGGTAATTCTGTAACAACAATTATGATTATAATGATTTACACACTAATAAATGATATTATTTTAGATCCTGTGACGAACCATTTTGCACTGTCGGAGTACTGAGTAATCCATCTACTAAAAAGTTACTGTTATTAGTGGGACTGAACATCGGTGCAGATGATGCCTGCGGTTGAAGTGGTAACGTGGGAGCAACAGGCGTAGGCATATTCAAATCCAAACTTCCAAGCAAATCCAACAGGTCATTATTATGTGCTGCCGCGGTCGTATTCGATGAAGAATTTTTATTGGTCGTCGCCGGCATCGTCATTCCTACATCCGTAGTTCCAAGTAAATCTAAAAGTGCACTCTGTAAAATTGCAAAAAAAATTAAAGATATTAATAGACATCTTTTTTAAATTTATTTTTTGTTTTAATAAATATTTTATATTATTTATACCCTTCGTGATCACATTGGGATCAAAATGATCACAGAACGCATTTAACCAATAATTTTTTTGATAAAACGAAAAATGTGAATGCAGCAATCGGTTAACTCTGGAATCATTTTGACTCTTCTGTGTGATTATTATGGAACTTTTAAGTGTGATCACATTAAGATCAATAGAATCATTAAAAATCCTTTATGTTATATTATTCTTAGCTTATCATATATTTATAGTTTAAATGAAAATATATGTTGAAATTTTGGCTGCCATGTGTATCCAATTGAATACACATCTAAAATGCACACATTATCAATTTGAATATATGCATTTCTTACTTACTATCATTTATATAAAAGCCAAACACTTTGCATTAATTTTATATATTATATTATGAATTCTGTAAAAAGTAACTTGATCTACGATTTTTATTTGAAAAAAACATATTTTATTGAAAAATCTATTCTAATGTGAAAGATTTACTTAAAATTATATTATAGAGCTATTTCATCCATTTCTCACGATATTATTTATGTTTCTGAGCAACGTATACTAAACATTTGAAGGTCATATTTATGCTCTCAAGAAGCAATCATGATTGTAGGCATGTAGGTATAAGCAAAAAGATATTATTTGTTGCCATAAATTTTATATTACTTTTAAAGTTAAAAATGAATATAAATCCGCTCTGTCCTATTATAAAAACATTTTACAAATTCATCCAATGACGATAAATGCATATATTTTCACTGCATTTACATTTATATACGTGACGCAGATGCGCATGGATCTTTCACACACATGAGTCAAACATTCACAAATATTTTGAAAACATTAAATTCTAGGTCATATATATCAATTTAACATTTATTTTAACAAAGTTAGGCATAAAATAATAATATTGTGTCAAAGAATTGATTACAAAAGCCTGTGCGACAGTTGAGATGTTAAGAAAAGTATGCGCTTACTGAATCGGATGTAGTAGTGGCTGATTCCAGCATTGTGGACTTTTCGTCTTCCGGTTCTGGCTCACCATTCACCATGCCTATGATACCATTGGCCTGTGGTCGCGCGGTTTCCATCGGCGGCATTCTCTCGAGCAACGCGGGTCGCAGGTGATCATACTTTCGAAACAGCTGTGAAAACTCGATACCCCTCTGTTGTAATTCGATATGTAAATTGCTACCAAACGTATCTATGATTTGACAAATTTTCCTGTAATAACAGAACATTACACGAATATTGCAATTGTATACAAATAAAGATCTTTTACATAAATATTATATGGATAATCACGAATGAGATCGAAAGTGATACTAACTCGTGACCTTTCTGGAACCTCGTGCTTAATTTGGTAAGAGACAACAAAGTATACTGTTTTGTGATCACAGTGTTCTGCGGATTCCAGAGTAACCTCTGATATACGTCGATGACTTCGTCCTCTGTCAACTGATGAAGAAATTTAAGAAATTATTGAGTTATATTTTCATATATGTAATATATCCAGGAAAAGTGGCGAACAGCTTTTAAAAAAAATATAATCAATATAAAAAATTTGGTATTATTTAAATCTTTTCCGTCTTTTCATATAAGTACGTACTATAGAATTGGCCGATTTTGAATCGAAGTTCCGATTAATCACATGAATCAATTCATAAATAAGTCGATTTTTACAATTTTTTTACAAATTTTACAATTTTTACAATGAGTTGCCGGTTGTCATCCGTTCTCTTGTCTCATCATCTTCTTTTTTTTTTAAGGCATCATAAATAAGTTTTAAATTCTTCAACACACATCCATCAGAAGTAGCTAGGATAAATCTTATCTTAATTATTTACATGCGCACAGTTTTAAAAGTAATGTAAAAATGTATTAAACATGGTACCTGAGGGTCAATATTTTTTATATAATTTGTTGACATTCAAAAAATACCAAAATTTATAATAAAACTTTTCATACATTTTAAATAAAACGTTTCGGTATTTATTTTTCAGTTTAAATGCTTGGAATTGAATTTTTGCTCCAAGTACTAACGAACCATTAAATGTAAAATAATTATTCTCCCTTTGCTCTGACCAATTTTACTAATCTACGCCCACTTGTATATGCGTCCGAGATTGCATTAATAAAATACAAAAAAAAATCGAAAGAATTGGTTCAAATTATTCAATTAATATATATTCAAATCGGCTTTCAATTTGAATTGATTCATTGATGAATCGGAAACGAATCAATTGATTTTTTAACCATCCTTAGTAAATATCACAGTTGCTATAATTGAACTTACATTGATTGGAGACTCGGCGTCCTCCGACGGTGGACTGTATAACAATAGATCGCCGTATTCGCCAATGCACCATGTGGCAACTTGCGCCAAAGGCTGTTTATCGGATGTGTCTTTTTCTAATGCGCGCCACAACGCACTAACGGCGTATCCCTGCTGTGACTGCGTCTCCGAAATTAATTGTATTGTACACGCCACTACGTCATCTCGCACGTAATTACCAGCCTGAAAATTAAAAAAAAAAAAAAGATTTGAATCTCGACAATTCTGTCCATATATTTCGCCGTATTATAAATCCGTAAAAATACACACCGCGACGAGTACTTTGAAGAGAGTCTCGAGATGCCAGCGTTTGTTCGGAGCAAATCTCTCAGCAGACATAACGATATTGCTGCTGCATTGAGCCTTAAATTCGGGATCGGCACGTTCCAAAAATAAAAGCAATTCCTTCATCATATTCCTGATATTGTTAGAATTGACGAGCGCAAAGCTTAGTTCCATCGCACGCCTTCTAATCGATACGTCTGGGTCTTTCAGGCATTCCTAAAATACGCCGAGAGAATATTAATCGCAATGAATAACCTTATCTTCAGCTTAAAAAAGAAAATCTGTAAGTGTGAATATTTTACTAGAATTGTCGATCGATGCCTCTGCACCGCGCTGGTATCCACGTAAACTGTCTTCAATAATGTATTCAGAGCCACGTATCTGATATTTTTGTCGTTATTCAATAAAAATCTGCCCAGTATGTTGACCGCTAAGACTCGAAGCCCGCTTTCCGACTTAATGTCCATGATCGATAAAACCGTCTCGTAGAGTATCGTATTACCGACGTTTTTGCTGGTTTCCGTATTAGTGGCAACTTGAGCAAGAATGTCATTCATAGCTTCGGATGCGTCGATGTCGTTACGTCCCAGAATACGTAGAAGACGCAGTATCTTCACCTGAAGAAACGGATCCGATACTCCGGATACGTCGTGCTCGGGCGAATATCCAGCTAAGATTAGGTTCTTCAAGATTCTAACAAGGTTTGGCACGATCTGCAATAGGACCTTCCACTGCTTAATTTCGTAGAAACTTAATTTGACTATTAACAACGATTACAAGAAATAAGATCGACGGAACAAGTTGTTGCGAGATAATATACATACTTTTATGTAGTATAAATAAGCACCATTTATCATCTTAAAATAATATTCAAATACCCTGATTTCAATTATGTAAGAGCAATTCTCTCTCTCTCTCTCTCTCTCTCTCTCTCTCTCTTTCTGATTACATTATTAAAAATCAATATAAGCTATTTGTAACGTAAGTATTGCAGATTTAGTTGAATATGTGATAAAAAATAATAGATAACTCGATGTCTATAACCATTCTCAATTTCTGAGATAAACATGCAACTGTAGTAAATAATGTCATCATAGTAATTACTGATGTTACGTAATTATTACTATACTAATATCTCTAAAACATATCTAACATATCTAACTACCTTGATCGATAAAAAATTCATATAAAAGATTGTATATCTACAAATGCAATATAGATGATTTGATACTTCAATTATAAAAAAAAATAGCATGGCAAAGCAGATAACATTGATTTATATTCTCATTCCAATATCTATTTCGAACAAAGTAAAAGAAAAGAATGAAGTCCGTGAGTAATAAACATACATGCAAGAATACAGAAGAACCTTTATATGCATATTACCTCACGATGGCCGCATTCCTAAGAAAGACAAAAATAATCAACGCTTATATACGTATACTTATGTAATAAATTTGAAGATTTAACCATGTTAAATTTCGTCAAAACATATTGCATGATTGTCTTATTATACATTCTATTATTTTTTATTTTTATATTATTTATTTTAGTTGTTTGGAAAAAAGAAATAAGAAGAATATAGAAGAGAAACTCGCCCGTTTGTTTATATCAATGAAACAAACTGTTTAGAATCTATTTAAAGCAAACCTGTATTAAAAATGTAAATGAACACAAAATGTAAATGTAAATGAAGACAAATGTGTTTTCAATTTCATATTGTATTGATGTAAAATGCAGGAAAGTACTTGTTTTCCTCCTAATATAATTATACAATAGATTAATATAATTATATAATAGACTCATAAAGATCCATTAATGCGTAATATACGAGAGCAAGTCAATAAATTTTTAGAAAAACATAGTAAAACACATTTTTTTTTGATCGATTCATTTTTATTTCTCAACATAGTCTCTTTTCAGCTCGATACACTTGATTCAACGATTCTTTAATTCTTTTTCAAGTCGTCCGAATAATATGATTTATCCAACCCTTTCAAAATAAGTCTCTGTTTCGACGATGAGCTGTTCTCTGGTGATGAATCTCTTTCCTCCGAACTATTTCTTCAGGTTTGGAAACAGGAAATAGTCGCAGGGGGCTAAATTTGGCGAATATGCTGGATGGGGAAGTAATTCGTAGTGAAATTCATTGAATTTGGCCATCGATGCCGGGCATGTGTGAACCCGTGCATTGTCTTGATGGAAGAGCACTTTCTTCTTCAAATGGGGACGTTTTTTCTTTAAAATATTAAAACGGTCTAATAAGGCTGCGTAGTTATCGCCATTGATCGTTTGCTTCGACGGAAGGTAATCGACATGAATTATACCGTGTACATCCCAAAAAATTGTGACCATCACCTTTCCGACTTCACGTCGCCTTCTTCGAAGCTGATTTACTGGGTGAAGTCCATTGTTTTGACTGTTCCTTCGTCTCGGATGTGAAGTAATGGGATCCATATTTCGTAGTAATGAATCGACGCAGAAATTCATCTGGATTATGTTGAAACATCTCCAAACATTATTTTGAAATCGTCATACGGTCGCGCTTATGGTCCACAGTGAGCAAACGCGACACCCATCTTGCCGATGGCTTTTTCATACTCAATTGTTCGTGCAAAATTGAAATCACTGTGTGAAATCAATGTGATGCCTGTGGCCTCAACAAGCTCGCGCACTTGTCGATCAGTCAAAACAATATCGTGGACTTTATCGATGATTTCTGATGTAGCAGCCTCAATTGGACGTCTCGAACGAGGTGCATCACATGTAGATGTACGATCACGTTTAAATTCATTCACCCAATTGTATACAGTCGCAAACGCTGGTGTAGATGTACTATGAACATTATCCAACTCGGCTTTGATTTCTTTCGGCATTAAACCTTTCATATAGATGTATACCAGATGCAACCTTTCATGTAGATGTTTGATCACTGCAAACTCATTTTTTTCCATTTTGCAAAAAATATTAAGGTTGTTCACTTTAATTGTCTACAGAAATGAAACCACGCGATGAATTCCGCTCAAAATTTGACAGTAATCAGCTGAAAGATACTTGTCAAAAAGTAATGACGTGACACTGCGAGTGTCTTCTGACAGATTTTCTAAGAACTTATTGACTTGCCTTCGTAAAATAAAATAAAATAAAATAAAATAAAATAAAATAATTCTTTCGTACCCGTACAAGATTAAGACTACATTCTTTTCCATCACTATTGCTAATATGATAATTAGCCAGCAAACAATTAAGTTTCTAACAGGTAATTCCACTAAGCACTCTCTAGATACTCTTTTTACTAGCGGGCTTCTCTACTATCATACATATGTATACCTAACTTGATGTATGTATCAGCCATACTAGATAAATCATACAACAGTCAATCGGTTATGTAATAATGCAACACTATGACTCGGACGGATAGATTTACGACACCAAATTGTCTCTTATGGAATCTATCTTATGAATCCTGTTCTAGAGCTAATGTATGTCGTACGTGTATCAAACGAGTATCTCTTAGGTATACCTTTTTGAAATGATTCAGTGTGTCAATGCTGTTCTCGCACATCTCCGTGATGAGAGTGACGCCAGTGATGAGGACCCCGTGATTCTTCTCGGTGATCAGGCTGCGAGTGGCCGGCAAAAACATCTCCATCAACTCCGGCACGCGTCTGATAATCCGAAAGGCACAAAGCGCCGCTTTCTTTCGGATGTACGCGTTCGGCGATTTCATCAATCTCTCTACTTCAGATGCCAGATCCCTTGCCATTTCCGGCGACGCGATCGCACCGAGGGTACACAATGCCAAACCAATGACGAACTGTGTAGAACTGTTCAGGTCACTGTACAAACAGAATCAGGAAGAAAAATTGCATCGAAAATTTGTTCTCTTGTTCGAAAATATAAAGGTCGTATTCAGGAACGCGTTTTTATCGATAAAAGTGCGCGCCCTTTTATCTCTGAAATTTTATATATATGTATATGTATGCATATAGCATGTTAGCGCGCTAACATTCTTGTTACAAGCGCGTTCTGAATATAACCAGAGTGTCATCGAAAACATTTGGCAGCATCCGAAGCGACGTTACTTTTTTAGACAATTTGTGATTAAGAGATGTACGTCTTGCCGCTCGTCTAGTAACAGCATGGCTCCCAAGTAACCAATTCGTTTGTCAGTGAATCTGGGCGAAGCGATGAGCTTCAAACATTCCAATTGACCAAAATGCGCCGGATACCTGAAGTGTATCATTAACACGTCACACTTATCCTCTCAATGATGTTGAATCATGTCGCAACACTCAGTTTTGCTACAACGCAACGATACAACTCAAAAATCGTTATTCATTGCATGCAAAAGAGAGCAGAAACAAAAGAAAAATAGAAATTAAGAACATACTTTTGTTCTTCTATGATGAGTTTATTACACCAAAATATATTTCTTCTTTTCTGGAAAATGTCTTTTTTTTAGTTGTATCATTGCTGTAGCAAAAATGAGCGAGAATAATATAGTTAGTAATACAGTTTGATACAAACCCCAGCATATGAATATACAATAGCTTAGCGATGTTACGGCATCTCCACACGCTATCTTCTTCCCTAAACGTTGAACGAATATATGCGCATTCCTTATTCACAACTGTCCTCTCTTCCGCAGCTGTTCGTGCAGCCCGTATTTGTCTGATCAGATCCCTCAGCCGCGTTGGCGCAGGCATTCTAACTGTCGAGACTTTCAAAATGTGAAAAAGTCATCAGTATAAATTGACACTATTTTTGGCAACTGCTGATTCCGCTTGTATGTAACTTCATCAGAAGATTATTGCAAGATAAAAAAACGCATCATTTTTTGAAATCAATATGGCCAAAGTACCATTTCCATTACTTAAACATTCATTTTGCTTAAGATGTAAAAATGAAAATCTTTGTTTACATTTTTAAAACAATTCATCTTCAATGTGTGTGAGAAACAGAGATAGTAAATAGGCGAAATCAGATGTTCCAATGATTAGCTATTATAGCCATTGTGAGTCAATTGAATTAACAATACACCTACCTCTTTCCACAGCCTCATTGAAAGCCTGCTTTATGGAGGCCATGTTAAAGGCTGGGTTAAACCTGAAAAAGTACACACCCATGCTATTTTATGACTGTTAGCACCCCTACCGTATTATACTCTGCCTAACCTTACTTTTGCAATCAATTTCATATTTTACAGTGTAAGAAAGGAATGAGGATAAAAGTTGTGTCTCAGTAAGTCATATTCACATTAGGGAACAGATACATACAGCTTTGACCATGATAAGTATAAAGCAATTTATTGCATTTTCTAGAAAAAGGTAATAAAAACCAAAGGAGGATTAATAAAATATTAAAATTGTTGTAAAAATAAATATTAATTTTCAATAAAGTCTTTTAGAACGTTTTACATTAATTTGTGGGAATGCTTTATAAGTTTACTTTTGGCCAAAGCTGCATTTCATATAATCAAAAATATAAAAATGATAAACTAATAAATGTTGTCATAGATTCTGTTTTCCAATGCTTATGACCATGTTAGAGATGAAAATAATGATTAGTTTTTCTTTTACAGTCTCATTTCTGCTCAAATGAAAATTATCCCAAATAATTATCCACACACATATACGAGTGGGATTATGCATTACCCATGTTCTGAGGCATTCATCGTTTCTCCACTTGGACTGTCAACTTGTGCCAAATTTCACAACGAAAACCAAGCGCAGACGAATACAAAACACGAACTCTGCTATCCTCCTAATAGACACAGGACGACAATAATATTATGAAAAATGTTAGTATTGTATATAATGTTAATAAATTACATCAACCTAAACTAGAATGTACGTACATTAAAGAATAATTGATCTTGTAGTTCATAAGCCTTCTATAGAATGAAATACTGTTTAACGCTTTGCCCTATTTCAGAAAGACACCTTGCAACTCTTGACAATTCACTTTGCATATCACCTTTACAAATTATTTTCTATTTAAAATTTGTAATCACTTGAAAGATATATTCTTATCATTGCAAGACAATTGTATTAGGTGTTGGAATTAATTCGTAGCGTTTTACAAGTGATGGGAAGTACTTTCATTAATGTATTTTTTAATGCTCATGTGAAATAAATAACATTCTTTCATTAAAAACGCTACGAATTAATTCCAACACCTAATACATTGAAATTAACATACAAGTGCATGATTATATTTGTCTTTAATCACTTGATTGTGCATCAAGAAACATAAAAAAGACAGATGAATTTTATAAATCCTATAAAATCAGATTTTGTATTAAATATTTAATTTAACCAAATTAAGCAAACTTTTAGAAAAATCTATTCGATATTTCGGCTCATTTCTATTAATGTAGATTAACTTTAATCCAACCCAGATTTGTGCAAATCCACTAAAGTCGAAAAAACAATTACTTTTTACCGTTTTTTATTTTTTCCTAGTTGTAAAAATTAGAAAAAAGATAAAGAAATTGGACAAATCAGGTTAAATGAAATGTTCCTGTATGACAAATTTTTACATGAGATTATTTATCCACATAATTTTGTAATCACTGCACGCGTGATTTACATATCAAAGAGTCGAAACACTTATCACATTACTAAGTACTGTTGATACTGACACTGAATAAATTTATTGTATACGTGATAGCTCTTCTGGTGATAGCTCTCTTATAGACATTCCATACCTATTTTCTTCAGAGTTTAAATTCATTTAAATTGTTGGAAAGATAAAAAGTAAAATAAACTGAGATTAAAGTTAATTTATGTTTATAAAAATGAGCCCGTTTCTATACCAATGTAATTTAATTTTAATCTTTTCCTACTGATTCAACTGATTCAATTTTCTTTTTTAGTTTTAAGAATTAGAAAAAGACGAAAAATAATTTTAATAACCTAGTTCAATTGACTCATTTTTTTGAATTTTTAGAACTGGAAAGAGATATAAAAAAGATTAAAATTAAACTAGGTACATTAGTATAGAAACGTGCATAAGTGGCTAATAGATTTTTTTTCAAAAATGATGAAAAGTGAAAAAGAGGACTGACAGCTGTGTCGCGCAGAATACAATTGTACGTTCTATTTAAACTTGAGCTGCTTTATTAAATTTGTGTCAACGGAGAAGATGGAATAAAAAAGGGAAGTAGCTCCAAAGTGCTTTCTGAAATAAGTCATAAATCAGTTTCCGAGATCTGTGGACACTCGGCAGGAACGTGAAGGACGTACCGATGTCGGAATGTATATCGGCGGATCGCGGGAGACACGATAACGATTTAACTGGAGCGTGATGTCACTAGCTCGTATTAGAATCTCGGCGACGTTGCAAAACACGAGTAGCTTATATATATATCAAAAAAAAAAAGAGAAAGAAAAAAGAAAAAATATAGGAGAAGAGCCACGAAGACAATCGCCGAGAGTCAACCAAGACATTAGTTCGCGGCTGTCAAACATCGAAGCTCGGAAGTCCACCAGAGTCCGCCGCGAATCCGTTCGGAAGCGCGCCCTGAACTTAGCCGCAATTCGCAAGTCCGTGAACGGTCCACAAGTCTGCCGTGAACGTCGCCGCGTCGAATTTGTCGGGGAGCCAACGACTTCCTGCGTGACGTGTTGCCGCGTGCGAGAACGTGCACGCGGCACGATGACGAGGACAGACGTCGACGACACGAAATAATTGGGAACACGGGTATTATCGCGCTCTGCTCCTAAAACGAAGCCAACGTTCACACTCTGCGTGTTTACATTACGCTGAACGACGCTGAACGAACAACACTGAAGCCTTAGTTGGAACGGCCGGAGTTGGAGCGACCACCGTTAAAATGCGAATCCTCGGCAAGCGTGAACCGTGCGCCCTCATGTTCCGATCGAGGTGCTCGAAACGCCAACCGTCGTCCGACGTACCGTTTATCCGTCCGGGTGCTCGACCCGAGACTCGGGACGACGACGACGACGGCGACTACGTGAATACGTACCGTGCGGCGCCGTCGAGTCCCGTGAAGGCGGAGACTAGTCGCTAGTTCGTGGCCGCGAGCCCCATGAATGTAGCTCTGCTTGCAGCCAAGTCTCTACCCACACGGATCACACACACACACACACACACACACACACATCACACACGCGCGCGCGCGCACACACACCACTTGCACACACTAGCGCTCTTAGACACTCTGACCAACTCTGACCAACAGGCTAACCCCAGCTATCCGCCCGCGTAATACTACACGATACCAAGCTGTTTTTTCTCTCTTTTTCCTTTTCTCTTTTTGTCCTCACCCCTCTCACTCTCTCTTTCTCTCACTCACTCACTCTCTCTTTTTCTCCCCCTCTCCTTTTCCCTCCTCTCTCTCTCACTCTCTCTCTCTGTCTGCCTCGTCAACCACAGATCTGACAGATCGCGCGGAATTTCGTTAATTTCGTGTCGTGTTAGTGCGCCACGACGGGAAGATTCAAAAATGGCCGCTGCCGTCGTCATCATAGTAAAAAGATTACATGGTGTGCTCAGTTTGCAAGCGTCTCTCTCTAATTCTTTGTCTTCTCGCTTGTTCGGTGACCGTTAGTAATCTCAGTTTAGCCAATCTTCGATCTGTTTTCTGTCCCTGCACTAGATTGCACTAGCACTCTCTTTCTCACTTTCAACAAATATTACAATAAATATATGTATACCTATCTCATTTCAAGTTCTAAAAATGTACACTAGTTCAGTTATAGAAAAACAGACCTCTTAAAGCCTTTTCTACAATGTGCTTTTTATTTCCTATTTCTCGCTTTTTGTTATTTATTGTATCTTGCCTTTTTACTTCTTATTCCGTTTTTCGTTTTCTGTTGCTCGAGATAAACGTTAACGAACTTCAGAAGAAACAGAAAACACATATCAAGAAATATAAAAAAATATATAAAGAAATATTGTTGATAAAACGATCACAAAGAAAAAAAAAGCAAGAAATAAGAAACAAAGAGCACATTGTGGAATAATCATAAGCCTGTTCTACAATGTGCTTTTTGTTTCCTGTTTCTTGCCTTTTGTTATTTTTTACATATTGTCTTTTTGCTTCTTATCCGGTTTTTTGTTTTTTATCGCCCGAGATAAAAATTAACGAACTTCGAAAGAAACAAGAAATACGTAGCAAAAAATATAATTGTTGATAAAACGGCCTCAAAGGAGAAAAAAGGTGAAAAACAAGAAACAGGAAACAAAGAGCACATTGTAGAATAGGCTTTATGTCCGTTTCCATCAATGTAGATTAACTTTAATCTCGATTTAACTTACTCTTTGTCTTTTTCTAGTTCTGAAGATTAGAAAATGAAGAATAAGTTGAATCGAGATTAAAGTTAATCTACATTGGTGGAAACGAGCATTAGTTGTTATCTTCGTCGCACGCACATCATTTAGGTTCGGTTTCTTTTTATCATGCACTATCTAGTACTACCAACGTTTGTTGCATATTCCTACCCCCAGAGAGAATCGAGGGAAAGTGAAGTGGACTCATCCGAAAGCCGCCATTTACAGTGTTGAAATGAGTAGGAGATATGGTAGGAACGTGATGGAACATACGGTACTGCACACACTAGTATTGTATGTATGATATATTGGGTCATCTAAAAAATATCCGCGGTACTTTGTCACTAGATATATGACCATCAACACACATCTAGTGACAAAAACCGCGGATACTTTTTAGATGACCCAATATAATACACACCCATGCACATTTGCGGAAGTGCACTATAAATGGCGGAACCAATCAGAGAAGAAAGACACTCTCCGCTCTACTCTTCCTTGATTCTCTCTCTCTGTTCTACTCTAATTTCTATTTACTTTAACGCGTTCATTTGAGTGAATAGGAGCTATAATAGGAATTAAAACACATTTCAGAAATATATACTCAAAATATCTTTTTTTAGAATTTTTCATATATATGAATTCTGAAATATTGTGCGTAAGATTATAAACAAATTTGAGATATTTTCTTAACAGTTATAAAATAATATAGAAATTCTAAACATTCAGAATTTTTTTATATGCGAAATATAAAATATTTTAAGATTCGTATAATTTTCTATAATCGTATATATATGGACATATTTTATATATAATTATATTGTGATGTCTATATATATACAATTATATACGAAACGTTTCTTCCCGGATAAATTAACAAATCGATACATAAATATAAATAAATAAATAAGTACAAAATACCAACAGTACTTATAACAGTACTTATAGCTCAGCAGAATCTTCAGGGCACCTACGGAATTATTCCGTTTTTTAGAAAACACAATAAAAATCTAGGAAATAATTGAATAACTCCAATAGGAATCCATTTCAAATAATTTCATAATACTTACTCTAATAAACTCTTAAAATCACATTTGACACTTGCTTGACAGTTGATGCTCCACGGTTCGAAATGAAGAGAGACAAGGACACATAGCGGGATCTGACCATAGTATAAGAATATACAGTAGGGATATGCAGCATCGGCACCTTTGATCTTTTTCAAATGAGTTTTCAAAGGGTTTATTACGGTTCTTTAGACGAAGTGAAAATTACAAAAATGAGCAAATCTCACTAGATGTTAAGAGATTCTATGAAATTATAAATATTCTAGTAAATTCGATTCACTTTCGTAATTTTTACTCATTTCAAAAAAGTCCCCGTAATAAATCCCCATATCTTTGGTCCGCCATATCTTTGGTGATCAAATACCGTATCAATAGTATTAGGAACCACCGCCTATACTCAACAAAAAAAGGAGATAAAAAAAAATCTTAATTTTTTAGAATCTTCCATCAAATCGATTAGATACATCCCCGCACAGTCACGTTGCTTCATAAAATTAATTGTTGTAATCAGCTATTCAGGAGACATGCTAATGTCTCGTCACTAGGCAAGCGCAGTCATAGCGCGATTTCACAGACTTCTATTATAACATTAGACTGCTAGCTCCTTACTTTTCCTATTGTCAGATAGTATGTATTACTCGTGACACATGCGCATTGTAAAACCGCGCATACGCAGAACACCATATGTTATTGGATCATCTAAAAGTATCCGCGGTTTTTTGTCACTAGATGTGTGTTGATGGTCATATATCTAGTGACAAAGTACCGCGGATACTTTTTAAATGACCCAATACTTTTATATACTCAAAGGCCCATATTCATAGTCAAAGTTCAAGGCAGCGCTTAAAGCCGGTTCTACATTAGTTGCAAGCCGATCGCAAGTTTGTTGCGACAGCCAATCTGAAGCTTGCATTTTGAAATCAACTCTTCATATTGGCTGTCGCAACAAACTTGCTATATAAAAGTCATCTTGATCAAGATTGTCTTAGTCAATCAAGATTGTCTTAAGATCGTGAGGAGCTTCGCACGCATAGAAAGAACAAAGAACAGAGAACAAGAATTTCAACCTATCAGAAACTGTGTATTCCACAATACATGATTTCTAATAGGTTGAAATTCTTATTCTTTGTTCCCTATTTCTTTTATTGTGCGGAGCCTCTAACAATTCATAGTCACGAAATAAGACGACATTCGAAAAAAAGTTCTTCCTTAAGGAATTCTTGTTTGATTTAAAATCGTCTTGACGAAGATGGTTTTAAGATTGAACTTATTTGATTTTCGGCTGTTTCCGTAGTATTTCCATTAGATTCTCGAAATAGAAATACTGCATTTGAGAAGTATAATTTTACGAAATGTTTAATAATTTTTTGTATGATTAGACTGTGATTATGGATTCCGACTTTAAGTGTGTTCCCTGATAAAAAAATTTCGTTGAAATTATTCCATGTTCGTTTTATTTTTTACATTTTAGCGAAGCTTATTAACATTTTAGCGAAATTGTTGATTGAAAATTTATTTAAATTTCACTGAAAGTTATAATTTTTTACCTAACATACTGAAATTGAACTGAAATTTCTCTGAACTTCTGTAGAAACTTTTCTTAAAATTTCTCTGAAATTTGATTAAAATTGTGCTGAAAATGAATTTTTCATCAAAAAATTGCTGAAATTAAATTAAATTTTTTCTGAAATACTGTTCCAAAACGGGAATTAAGTTCAACGAAATTTTTCCATCAGAGTTGAAGAGCGGATTTTACAGAATTGTCTTATCCGTTTTGTCTATATTTTTCCTGAAGTACTGCAGGTAATAATGTTAAAAAGATCTCGTTCATCTCAAATTTTGATAAAAATACATTGAATCAATGTGTCCTCGCGTTTTTAACTTTTTATTTGTATTATATATGGTTATTTTAATGTGAAACATAAAATGTTATATAAAAAAAATCTTCTGATGTTGCAAATATATAGGCAAAATTTACAAGAATTATATTCGTTTATAATCCGGTTAAATTTCGATCTCAAAACATTTCCCGTATGAATTTTGGCCACAAGTGCATTAACATATATCGGACAGCGAGCCATACTGTAATCTAATGAAGATGATAAGGATCAGTTGTAACAACATCATTTATTTCTTCGCAGTTGGTAGTCTGGTCTGGTTAATGAACGATACCACAAAATAAAAAGAAGGAGACCAAATTCGAGAATAAAAATGGACTTGAAATACGGTGTCGGATAATTCACGGAAAACGGAACAATGCGATTTTAGTGTCATTGCGGGAAAAATTGAAAGTATTGGGTCATCTAAAAAGTATCCGCGGTTTTTTGTCACTAGATGGTGTTGACCATCAATATATTGGGTCATCTAAAAAGTATCCGCGGTTTTTTGTCACTAGATGTGTTGACCATCAACACCATCTAGTGACAAAAACCGCGGATACTTTTTAGATGACCCAATATACCACAATGATCCAATATATACCACATGGTAACGCGTACGGAATACACATGTATGCACGTTTTACTTTTAATATAGAAATTTTAATTTGTATAAAATTTAATTTTATTTGATTAAATAGTAAATGCATCGTTACCGATGTCGCATTAGGAACTTTCCACTAGTAGCGGAATTCTCTAAGTCTTATCGATGATTGTCGCTATCGTTAACTAGCGATAGTCAATGGCAGGACAATCCTGGAAGAAAGCGCGATTTTCATTGGCTGTGACTAGTTAATGATAATTGTCGATAAAACGTTTAAAGAATCCAACAACAGAAAAACGAACAGCGTATTCTAATCTCACGACCGCGTGTGACTCGACTCATATGAGTGAGATGATGTGAGGATGACAAGAAGGAAAAATCGCGTGAGAATTCCCTTAAACAAGAAATGCCATGAATGTGGCAGCATTGCGCATCGATCACGCGAGATTTGAATGCAGTGAAGGTATTTTTGA